GTAACCTTTCCCTCGTTGTTGCAAACATTTACCGACCACCCCGTAGCGATGGCACCCTCTTCTGTGCGGAACTGGAAAGAAGCATCAAAACCGCTAGAGCCGAAGGTGACGACCTCCTACTACTTGGAGACTTCAATGCCAAGAACAGTGCGTGGCTCACCACAGACAGAACAGATCGCCTTGGGGACGACATACAAACTCTGCTACACACATACGGCCTCACACAACATGTCAGATTCCCTACTTACATCCACCGACAAACACCTCTCTCATGTCTAGACCTTGTTATCTCCTCACTCTACACCAATGATATTCATATCCAATCACTTCCACCATTTGGCGCATCCGATCACACTACTATCAGCGGCCACATCAATAATCAACTGCCCCCCATAATTAACAACTCCCCTCCAAGATCCAGAAGCACCACATTCTGGTCATGGACAGACAGCACTATCCACCTTCTTCGAGAAGCCCTTTCACGCACAAATCTGAACCACCATCCAAACCAACACGACCCATGCCCAGTTGACACCTTCTGGCGATCCTGGCGCGACAATGTCCTGAGCATCGCCCAAGAACAATGCCAAGTTACTCGCACTCACCCCCCTTGGGACAGGAAGAACGTGCCAGCACGACCATGGATATCAAAGGGCCTCTTGAAAGAGATCAAGGATAAGCACAGAAAACACAGAATATACCTTCACTCATGCTCGCCTGACGACTGGAACACGTTCACTGCCCAAAGAAACCGTGTCACCTCCCTCCTGCGTCGTGCTAAATCGGATTTCGTAAACAACTCAACAGCCTCCTCTACTTCCCTACACCGCCTCATGAAGCACCTAACTACAGCTACAAAACAACGCATACCCGAACTCGTCAGCCAAGCAACTCCTGCAACGACACCAGCACAAAAAGCCGCTGCCCTCAACGAATTCTTCATTTCACAGAGCAAGCTGTCCGTGGCCAATGCGGATGAGCAAACTCCAGCCATCAACACCACCCCTGACATCCTCAGTCCCCTTCAAGAAATCTCGACTTCCCAAGCTGAGGTCGAAAAACTCCTCCGCGGAGTTGATACCAACAAAAGCCCCGGGTTTGACTCTATTCCAAACCGCCTACTCAAAGAAGCGGCGAAAGAACTTGCACCGTCGTTATCGTCCCTCTTTAATCTATCGTTCCAAACCGGAGAAATCCCACAGGAGTGGAAAGATGCCACCATTACTCCAGTACCCAAGCCGGGTGACCCAACTCAACCAACAAATTATAGACCCATCTCTCTCTTGAGCACTACATCAAAAATCCAAGAAAATTTTGCACATCAACTCCTCTACAAGCACATCACACCCCACCTGCCCAACCAGCAGTCCGGATTCCGCGAGAAAGACGGCACTGAGCAGCAGCTCGCCCGTCTCGTCCATACCCTTTCCACTGCGAGAGACGACGGGAAACACGTCAATGCCTGCTTTTTCGATCTAAGCAAGGCCTTCGATCGTGTGTGGCATGCAGGCCTTCTAGCAAAACTCTCCCACTATGGTGTCCAGGGCAACGCCCTGGAGTGGTTCCGACGGTACCTGTTGGGGCGTCGGCAAAGGGTCCAGGTGGATGGTGACCTATCGCCTTTCCTCGAGATCCCTGCCGGCGTCCCTCAGGGATCTGTTCTTGGGCCGCTTCTATTCCTCGTCTACACCATTGACCTTCCACACGCATGTGAGAATCCCAGCACCACCTGTAGCCAGTTTGCAGATGACACCGCTCTGATTTCCATAGCGAGAACTCTTCAAGACTGCACCCGAAACCTACAACAGAGTGTCACAGCAGCTGGAGACTGGCTTCAAAAATGGCACCTGCTGGTTAACACAAAGAAAACAGTCATCCTCCCGTTCTACCACAATAACCGCCCCCCTGAACAGCTACCCCAGATCACCCTCAGGAATAGTCCGCTTACCGTAGCACAAAAACACAAACACCTCGGAATAATCTTTCAGCATGACCTCCGTTGGACGGAGCATGTTGAATACATAGTCAAAAAATCACTCAAGTCTTTCAATATTCTTTTTAGACTAAGGTCTACACTCACCAGTGATTCTTTATCTCACATCTATCAGACATACATACTACCTATATTCTCATATGCGAGCAATGCTCTCACACCGTTGTCCCACACTTCCCTTGACAGGCTAGAACGACTCCAGCGGAAAGCCGCCAGAATATGTCTCCACCTTCCCCTTTACACACACTTAGAACACTCCCACCTTTTGCATCGCATCAAATGGCCAACATTATTTTCACGCTTTAAAGTTAAACATATACTCTTTGCGCATTCTCTGCGCCACAATTATGCCCCACCACATATACTCTCGCTGCATACTGCTAGCAACGTGCAACCTTCGTATAATTTACGTCGCTCTCGTACTTGGCACTTGCCAACTCCGCGGACTGACCGCTGTCTCCATTCTCCCCTGTACAAGGCCCTTCATTACTTTAATTGCCTGCCCACCCAGTTTCGCGAAATCCCTTCTCGTACTCCCTTCAAATCCGAGATATCCCTGCTGTTGCACAACTCTGTATGCTCGTGTAGCGACCACCCCTGCCCTTACACTTAAGTACGCAACTCTGTATGCTCGTGTGGCGACCACCCCTTCCCGTACACTTAAGTAGTCATTAACCCCTAGGCCCTGCCCACCCAATTCTTCCTCACTCTTTCTCCTTTCTTACACTATTATCTCTTATTGGCCACTGGCTATCGTGAGAATAAAGATTTGAAACAACAACAACAACAACAACAACAACAACAACAACAACAACAACAACAACAACAACAACAACAACAACCACATTAACAACAACAACGCTACAAAGAAGCGTCGATGCCGCAGCAGAATGGCAAGAGCGCTGGCACCTGCTAGTCAATAAAACGAAAACCGTCATCCCCCGTTCTACCATGCTAACCGACCCCCACAACGACTACCCGAAATAAAACTTGGCCAAACCCTACTAGTAACAGTAACACAGCATCGTCACCTCGGCATCATCTTTTAGCGTCGCCCTTCATGGACCTGCTAACAAACTTGATGAGGCTTGGCGTGATGCGCTCGAAGAGTATTGGGTTCACCCGCTGTGAGTCGGCTGGCACCACCAATGAGCCAGGAACCGCCAGTGAAGAAGACGGGTGCTTGTCATACAGTACCTCACGCACAGTCTTGTCACCACCAGCCGAGTCCTCCATCCCGAGTACTTAGCCAGGTGAGTCATCACCCACGATCCTCGCTGCAGAGTTAATCTTCCCTGCGAATACTTGTCGACTGAAGGTTGTATCATTCACTGTATCAGGCAGTTTCTGGCGACGGTTTCCAGCGGGTAGGTGTGCTTGAATACATCTTGCCTCGTCCAGGAAGTCCTTAAACCTGCCACATGACCACGATTTCGCGATTTGGGTTGCATTCTCAGCAGCTCGGGACTCCGGGTGAGGTCGCTGTAATAGTGTAAAATCAACACTACTTCCAACCCCACCTGCACATGTGCACACACATATATGACTTGTTCGACTTAAGAGAGCATGTCTGAGAAAACCAGAACATATGTGCAAGTAGGCCTCTCAGATTTCGCTCAAATTTTGCAGGTAGGTTTGCTTTGGGGTATAGATCGACATTCCAAAGCCCGCGCAAAACCTTTTGAAGGGAACCATGAAATTTGCATACCCTTCAATATTGGCCCAATATTGGCACGATTAATGGGTCTACAAACGAGCACCGGCGCAGCGTACAAAAACAAGCTACGAACAAAACTTCATCAAGCCAACATTACCTCACCCTAGAAGACTTCTTGGGGCAGCACCACTTAGCCACGCCAGCATCCCAGAAGACGAGGGCAATCATCCCTTGACGCCACAAATGATCGTCTTGAAAATAGCCCAATTGCAAGCGCTGATAAAACAGCGAGCTACGTCCTCAATTAGCAAACACTATACAGCGGCAGGAGATTGGAGCGGACGACTTCACTGGTCCGAGTTCGAGGATCTCGAAATTCTCTATACGCCGTGAGGCATATGGCCAGAACAGTTTTGTTAAGACAAGCCGACGCGAAGTCGGGGTGATGTGTAACGTATGTCAAAGGGCTGCCAATGCTAACAGCTGCAGCGCTCTCTCGACAGTGAAGGTAATCGACTGCCCTCTACATCACCCCACATTTTTGGCAGAAACACCAATCTTTATTTGATTGTCGACCAGTGAAGTCGTCCGCTCCAATATTCTGGCCCTCACCAGGCTGCGCTTCTACCAGGGGCACCTCAGGAGGTCCTTCAGGTTCCTTATAGCCAAATATCTACGACTATCCTTCGATCAGTAAATCCATCATATCTCAGTCATTTCTTGACCAAATTTCACGATCGAGGGGTCTATCGCCATTTAATAGAAAACACCATCTCGAACAATTGCCGAAGAGCTACGACACTCCCTTGCAACGATATCGTCCGCCGAAAGTAAAATCACGGCAATTGCAATTTTTCTGCCCTCAAGAACATTTCAAAGTCAGATTTTTCTTTTTTGCATGACATGTTCTTTACACAAAAATTCAAAGTCCAGCGATGGGGGAGAGTGAAATGGCGAGACAATTTGGATTCTGCCCGCAGATCTGGCACTGGGGCAAGTTTGGCAAGTGGGGGCTCTCGACTTGTGGCTTGATAGATGTCGAATGTGGGCTCTGTGCATTCGTCGCTGACGGACCTTTCCAAGAAGCGCAAGATCATGGAATCGGCCAATGGTGAAGTTATGATAATTTGAAGGTAAAATATGTCGTGAAATTGCAATTTGGGCCTGCGCAGCGAATTTGATAATGCGTAAATGATCACCGGTGCACTGCAGGCAGTCATCTTGGGTATATGTCATTTCCGGTGCATTCCTCGTTTCCCAAACAATATGAGCCACCTGCCCAATTCAATATAAAAAAAGACAAAAGTTGGGACTGAAGACGTGGCCAGGGCATGTGTGGAAAGAACGTACCTGTACAGGAAAATCCATCTCCAATAAATCCAGGCTTGCAAACACATGAGAATGTCCCAGTCTGATTAGTACAGTGAGCATCACTGCTGCATGTAAAATTCCGCTTTTCGCATTCATTAAGTTCTGGACAGGGGTAAACACCAAGGCATGAACAACAATGTCATATTGTGGACAGAGAGAGAGAGAGAGAGAGAGAGAGAGAGAGAGAGAGAGAGAGAGGAAGAGAGAGAGAGAGAGAGAGAGAGAGAGAGAGAGAGAGAGAGAGAGAGAGAGAGAGAGAGAGAGAGAGAGAGAGAGAGAGAGAGAGAGAGAGAGAGAGAGAGAGAGAGAGAGAGAGAGAGAGAGAGAGAGAGAGAGAGAGAGAGAGAGAGAGAGAGAGAGAGAGAGAGAGAGAGAGAGAGAGAGAGAGAGAGAGAGAGAGAGAGAGAGAGAGAGAGAGAGAGAGAGAGAGAGAGAGAGAGAGAGAGAGAGAGAGAGAGAGAGAGAGAGAGAGAGAGAGAGAGAGAGAGAGAGAGAGAGAGAGAGAGAGAGAGAGAGAGAGAGAGAGAGAGAGAGAGAGAGAGAGAGAGAGAGAGAGAGAGAGAGAACAAGAGAGCGAGAGAGCGAGAGATATGTAGAGATAGATAGAGAGGGATAGAGATAGTGAGAGATAGAGAGATGAAGAGAGATAGAGAGAGAGATGGAAAGAGAGATAGATGGGTAGATATACTGTAAAATTTAATCATGAATATGTAAGGAACAAGTAAATCTAACGAGTTAACGAGCAAAGATTTGTCGTTATTTTAAAATTCGTTAGCAAAAGTCGTTTGATTTGGGCCTCGCATGATTGAAATCGATCATTTCACATTATGGCATGCAGCGCGTGTTCAACGGATCGTAACTCGGTCAGTTCTCAACGGAATTCAGCAATCGAAAGATCTAGATGATAGCAGAGACGCTCAGTAGTCGGCTCGAACAACTCCGAAGTCTCTCAAATGAAATTTGACGAAGCGGCAGGATATCGAATAATTTGAATTTTTTACGCTCTTACGCTGGATAAAATTCATTTTTTTTATTTTCCTGACATCGAGGTATACTATTCCTGTGATGGACAACAATGAATGTCCTTGACGAGCATCTGTCTGAGAAAATCGTTAACTTTTCAAACCGTTTCCCTTCGAAAATCAGAAAATCTTTAACTTTGCAGGTCGTTAACATAATATGATTTACTGTAGATAGATAGACAGAGAGAGCAGGGCGTACGCAGATACGCTAACGTATGTGGATACAGTACAGGGATATGCTATACTCTAAACACTAAACGCTATACGCTTTGAAGTCACCAGCGTGCCAACGCTACACCTCCCCTCTCAAATACAATCACGCCCTCGTGATTCGAATACTACATGTAGGTGTTAGCTGACATCAACAACTGGCTGCTATTTAGAAAAAAACTGGCGGCATGCATGGTCGCGTCGGAATAAACTCGACGATAAGAGATAGGCAGAATGGATGACTTGCATAATATAATACAGGTATGGAGTCGTGAACATTATAGTAGATCGCGAATTGCTGGGAGAGCGTCAACCGGAGTATGGCAAATAATATCGGAAATGTTAACGTTTGGAATAGACAGAAGAATGTACTGATAAACAAATCATAAAGTAGAAGCACACCAGGTTCACACGATCTCACGGGGTCAAAAGGGGAAAGAACTGTCCTCCAAATAGGACCTGAAAAACCACAGCACTCTTGCTGCACAACGCTGGCACAACCCGCCAGGAACATCGCAGTTCAAAAACCGAACGGAATACACTATAACTATAAGGGGCGTTGTAACACACATTGTCCCACGTTAGCTGGGTAAACCGTGGCTCACCATGATCAGATGCCTACCAAACTAAACTGAATTCGCACACTCGCATAAAGGAAGACTGAAGAGAACAGGGAGACTGAAGAAAGACAGGAAAGAAAATGCCATACCTGGAATCAGCGTTAGTAACCTCGGCGGCGGCTGGAGCTACGGTGGTCTGCAAGCCAGGTTTTATCTTCATCTTGGTTAAGCCGGTCACTCAGAGCGGCTAGCTCTGCGTCAGACAAATGACCTCCCTCCTCGTCTTGAATCGTGGTCTTCATATTGTCGATAGCATCGCTTTGCGCGACGTGAAGAGTGATTGTCTAGCCAGGAAGAGTGTTGATGAAAATCTGCATCCCACCACGGAGGCGAAGTACCAAATGAAGAGTGGACTCCTGCTTCCGACTGCCTGCCGGCGAAAATCAAACGCTGCTGGTCTTGGGGAATACCCTCCTTGTCTTGGGCAGCACAACGGTGTTATCACTATGCTTATTAGTATATTCAGCTCCGGGGGTGTTTCACCAATAGTGTTACATATAAGCCCATGCGGTGGGTCAAAGTCCATGATTGAGATACGAGAGGCACTTGGTTCAAGTCCTGCCTGGGAGCGTTTTTTTTCCAGTCGTGCTGCTACCCACAGTCAACTGGAAACTTGTGGCCAGTCACAAGGGGTACGTGGATGCAGCTAATGGGGTTTCTCGGCACTTTTGCCAGTGGTTGTGAGACGTATCTCCTCATCCGCCTCTAGGGTTTAAAGGGCATTAGCAGCTGTCGTGAGTTCCCTTCGAAAACGGACACGATAATTTACTTTTTTTTTACGGGCCTGTATTAAACTGAACCGTGTGGAAGGTTGTAGAAAGGTCGCTGTTTCCGAACACGGTGTCCTCCACCTTGTTTCATGCTGCTGTCAAACTATGAACGCTAAGTATAAGTGCAGGCAAATATCCCCTATCCCTGGTTTCGCTGCCTATGACTCCGACATAGGTTAAAGAGGCAGTGCCGTCGTGCCACTTTACGGTACATCTCTAAATGGATTGAATTTTTTATTTTATTTTATTTTTTACGAGGTGATAAAGCCTCTTGTACGGGCAAAAGCAACACAATGATGAGAAACCAGGGTATGATAGGAACTGATAATATTAAAAATACTACACAGGTGTGGAAAATATGTCTCCGGAATGGTGAGAGTCACACTAAAACACAATGGTTTTAGATCCGGCTTTCAACCACTGCCAGCTCCCTGAGCTCGTTACCTGGACGATGGTATGCCGACCGAGACCCACGAACACACATGACAGCGGACCGGAGCAGCGCGAAAGACAGCCTGCAGCGCACATATGCAACATGGTGTGCATAGGGCATGCTGGAATCAGCCCTGGCAAGCAAGCCACAGAGGCGCTTAAGGAACATTTCGCATTCAGGGGCGGCAACACCAGAAGTTGACAACACCAGCGGGCTGAATGTGCCACGATCCACAATGAGGATTCGCTCTCCATACTGCAGCTTCTTCTGGCGCTCGTGCTGAAGCAGTAGGGCATCCAGTGGTTGGGCTGAGTAGGACGCCGCATCAGGATGGAAGACGCGTACATCAAAGAAAGCATCCTGTGCTCGGGTCCAGAAGCCACGGGCACGGACATCAGCGCGGGCATCCTCGGCGGTGTTTGTCGATGCAGCCGTAAACACCTCTCCAGAGAGCGGGGCTAGCTGAGGCTCGATTGCCACTGCGTGGCAGACCTCCGTGAGCAGCTCCCCTACCATGTCACGGACTTCGTTATGGCGGATTGTAGGGAAGCCACCCCGGGGGCAACACATGGCATGAGCAGTGGAGAACAGAACTCCGAAGGCACACTTCGTGGGGACATCGAGGAGAGGCCAGTCATACCGCAAGGCAAGGCCGTCCCTGAACTCCTGCTTCGAGAGGTGGAACCCATGTTCCTTGAGAGGAAAAGCAGAAATGGATTGAATCGATGTGAAATATGACCACAAGGATGTACCCAATGTACTCAAGGAATACTTAACCCCAACTGTGACAATTTCAATGATCTACGAACACACGTGCGTATTGAATAGCATCTCAACAGACCAGGGTGGCATGTTGTGTCAGGGTGGCATGTTGTGTCAGGGTGGCATGTTGTGTCAGGGTAGGATGTTGGGACCGAAGGGAGTTGTGTCAGGGTAAGATGTTTCGTCAGTTTAATAGATTGAAACATTGCAGCACAGCCGCAAGATGATCATAAACCTGATATAAGATAACATCACGAGCGCTGGGAAATACCTTGACAGTCAGTGCCATTCCAGGTTAACCCTGGACGGCACTCGCATACATAGGACCCATAGATATTAGCACATGTTGCTGACTGGCTATTGCAGTTGTGGGTCTTCAGATTACATTCATTAATATCTGTTCGGGTAAAAAAAAGAATTCTTAGCACAGTGGTGTTTGGAAATTGTGACTACTTGGCACTCTGAGTATGGTTTCTCAAATCAATCGCCCTCCCAACTCCTCCCCTCCCCCCCCCCACTCTTTGAAAATTTGTTCGATTCCCTAAGCACCCATCATCAGGATTTTGCGCGACACTAGCGGGGGGGGGGGGTCTACAGTACACAAGACAAGGTGGAATGAATTATGCCATGCAAGATAACGGTCAAAATCATTAAACGATGCACTTCTCAATCACTTACCCTCACAAATTGGCCACAAGCTTTGACCGTCACAGTACTGCAGTGTTGGTGTGCCAGGCGGGAATTCCAAGCCCGGAAGGCAGGCCAATCTCTTCAACAAAGGGGTTATGTCGGTGACGGTGCCTCTGAGACTACTCACGGATGGGCATGCTTGTACTGAAGGAGAAGAAACAAAGAGAGTTTTCAACGATGTATGCGGACAGCAAAGGAGTGAATGACCGACCTGCAACTCTGGACTGTGATCGAACTCATATTTTACTTAGGTCATTTAGTGCACTATTAAGCCGTACTTGAAATCATAACACAAGTGTCGTGATGAATAGAGAGTACAATACTTAGACAGCAGCGACACGTCCAAGACCTTCTCTGCTGTTAGTCATAGTTTAGTGCTCAAAACACCCATCAGACACCTGATCAGAGAGTTCATTTTTTCACTGGAGAATGTCTCCATTCAGTTTGTGGTAGAACCGAGATATGTGGCTAGTCAGTAAGCCATCTCGGTTGACGGGTGCGTGGAAAATGAAATTATCGATCAAGTACAGAGTTAAAATGAAATTGAAGACACCACTGCAGCTGTACTTATGGTTGATGAAGACACACCTGCATCGACACATCTGCATCGACCAGGCGCCAGGCGCGAACCGTAGGCTGATGGTGGTGAGAAGGAGAGCTCTGTGCCAGAACTTTGCAGCCTAGAGAGCGTGTGTGGGCAGGCGTATGTTTCCTAGTGTGTTTACCGCCATATTGCCAGGTGTGTCTTTACCACCATATTTATCAACCATAAGTACAGAGTTATGGTGAAAATCCGAGTTAATTAAACCAAGTACAGAGTAAAACTTTTCTAAGCACTCGCAGACTCCATTGCAGTTGAATGGTTTTCTTTTTCACCCTGAAGATGGGCCATGCCCGAAAATTTGGTGCATTCAATTTTTATCTAATTATTATTTGTTTTTTTTGGAAGTGAAGTGAACATATGCAGCGAAGAGACCGTAGTTGGAGAGTTTGAAGTGAGGTACCCTATAAAGTACAGAGTAAATCGAATACCAACATCATGTGAGCCAGAGGACGCTAAAATATGACCACAGACCAAAATTCGATTATCAGTTTTGTTCAAAAACGATCAAACACACCTAATGTTCACTCTGTGAAAGTTTTGGATTGATCTAACATGTCTAAGGGTTGCTACAATGGTATTTTAATTATGCAGCACTTTTGAAATGGTGAAATTCTATGTACAGCAATGGGATTGTCATTTTTGCATACAGTTGATAATTATGTCCCTCAGTTCATCCTGTCCGGGTCAGTTCCTCCGCCCAGGGTCTTATAGCATGAGCTGACAGGTACTCGACCACATCCAAAATGTCTATAGGCAGGCCAGCTGGGTGTCCGAAATACCTCCTGGTTAGAGCACCACTGGAGAACCGCCAGCGAAAACACCGTCAACATCTGTAGACGTCCGAAGACGTTGGCACTCCGCATCCTCTCCATCACACTCCACCCGTACTTTCAGATATACAGTATACACTGCTGCGCACAGTCTTCTTCAACAGACTCGGCGTCGCACTAATTACTTTCTACATTTATTATTGGCTCAACATCCGAGTTTCAAATTTGAAGAATGGATAGAGGAACATGGCCGCCACACGTACATCATGATATAATCCAACACTGGTAAACCAGCATTAGATAAACCGTGTTGTAGTTCACGCAATTGTTAGATTGACAGCATGAAACAAGGTGGAGGACACTGTGTTCGAAAACAGTGACCTTACTACAACCTTCAGCGGTTGGCAGAGCCCCGGTCCCTGCGGACCATTTGAACCATATGGGTATCGCATCCGGTTCGAAAATATTGAACATACATGTTAGTATCTAGCTCTTCCGTCAATGCATCCAACGTGTATCCGACGTGAACCCAACGTGTAAAAAAAGACAAACTCTCAGTTCTAAAGCGTGCTAGTTTGTACGTGAAGTGTCTGGGTTACAGTGAGGGCTGCGTCCCACCCGCCTGTGTGGATTCACAGGAAGTGTGAGTTACGAAGTCTGAAAAAAATGTTGAACGGCCTCTGCTGGGATGACGACTACACCATAGCTCAGTGGTTAGAGCATCGCTGGCTACAAGCGAGGGTCCCTGGTTCGAGTCCTGGTGGTGACAGTCAATTTTTTCTTCAGACTTTTCCCGTTTGTCTCTTTCCCTCAAACCAGTTTAAAAAACTCTCAGTTCCCTCAGGTTTTTCTCAGGTTTTTCTCAGGTTTTTCTCAGGTTTTTCTCAGGTTTTTCTCAGGTTTTTGAAACAAAACTACACAGTAAGATCAACAACGAAGTGATTTACAAACATAAGTAGTTGACGTGACCAACGTGTAGCCGGGATGTTCCGACGTGGTGAAGGCCTAGACATGGCCACATTGGGACATCACCAACCCCGTCTACAGAGAGCACCTTGTCGCGACGGTGTCATGGTGATGCCAAAAAAACTGTTGACAGCTGACGAGCTGAGAGAAGGACGCCATGGGCAGAAGTTGGAAGAAAAAAGAAAAAGAAAAAGAAGTTTTTATACAAGTTAAAGAAAAGAGCGAAGACAACAAGACGGCATCAGGAGTAGTCTCCTAACCCCCTAGCATAATGAGGGTCAGAACCGGGTGCGATACCCATATGGTTTAAATGGTCCGCAGGGACCGGGGCTCTGCCAACCGCGGAAGGTTGTAGTAAGGTCACTGTTTTCGACCACAGTGTTCTACACCTTGTTTCATGCTGTCAATCTAACAATTACGTACAGCATGTAGTAGTGCCGTAGCTGTCCTGCACACACACACACACACACACACACACACACACACACACACACACACACACACACACACACACACACACACACACACACACACACACACACACACACACACACACACACACACACACACACACACACACACACACACACACACACACACACACACACACACACACACACACACACACACACACACACATACACACCTTCCCTTCCTTCGCCCACTGCCACGATAGACTATGTGTCCCCAAACGGGGCGACTTGAAGGAGTGCTGTCTTCGGGACGCGGCATGAGGCCCTGCGAGTCCGGCGGGACGTGAACGGCTGTTTCACTGTTTGTCTTTTGCTTTTGCAGAGCGACAAGAGGTGCAACTATGTCTAGCGATGTCTTGAGGACGGCTGAAACGGCGTGTGCAGGCCATACACAGGAGTGTTTTCACGGCAGGTTGTACACATGAGCATACCACGCTGTAGACTCCATCCTGACACCTGGCTCTCCAATTAGACCTATCGTCTGCTGTGTCAAGCCACTCATTTATGCCAATGGACACCGCCGCCAGGTCATGTTTGACTGGGTCTTTCCACCTCTTCCGGGGGCCATGTGGAGGTCATTTAGACGGCAAGGCACCAAAGAGCAATTGGCGGGTAATACGGTCATCCATGCGAGCCAGGTGGCCGAGCCATTGGAGACGATGGCGCCGGACCTTGTCCGAGACCCACTCCTTGTCTCCCCACCACTGCCGCACCTGAATGGTTGTTACGTGCTCGTCCTTCTGGCGCGTCCGACTGATGCCCAGGACCATGCGTATAGATTGCAGGTGAAACGACTCCAAACGCTGGAGATCCCGCTGCCTCGGTGGCCAGTTCTCAGCACCATACAGGAGTACCGCCAGCACAGTGACTCTGTGCACAACACGCTTCAGACCGATAGGAAACTCGGGGTTCGCAAACACAGCCTTCTTCAAGGCGCCAAATGTACCCGAAGCTGCAGCGATCCTGCGAGAGACATCAAAGCTACTCCTAGTATCATGAGTGATCTGGCAGCCAAGATAGCGAAAGCTGTCCACGTATTCAACGGTTCCAACCAAAGGCAACATATCCGACGCCACCACACCAACGCCCCTAGGCATGAACTCAGTTTTGCCCAGATTGACTGACAGGCCAAAATATGCTGCAACCTCCCGAAACGAGGCCAAGGCCCTTTCAGCACCACCGTAGGTTTTGGCGAACAGCGACGCATTGTCCGCAAACTGACACTCCATTGTAGTCACTCTGCGACACTCTCTGAGGCGCGTATTGAACCAGCAGTCTCTGCGGAACTGCGACACCTGGATACCGATATCCCCGTCATTGGCGATGGAAGCATGCCACTTTTCAACAACCGCACCCATGAACAAGTTGAACAGGATCGGGGCAATAGTCTCTAACACATTGAGATGAAGTAGAATGGTAGACAAATATGTATAGTTTCGAAATATCCCAACTTGGTGAGGTGTCCGAGTGAGTCCAAATGAGAAATTCAGGTTCGTGTTACACCATGTCAAGATGAGAAAATTCCATCACGTTACTTACCTAGGATAGCGCCCTCCATATTCGTCACTTCCATCCATTTTGGGGAGTCGAGACTTGGCAGCAGTGTGGACGATGTACCAGACTAGCTCCCAAAAAAGGCTCGAGCTGAAGAGAACAAGTGGCAGGTTGCCACGAAGGGATACGTCTGGTCTTCTCGTCACTATTTGAAGGTTTCTCAGCGCTGTCAAAAGAGCAAAAATTTGAATTTTCGCGCGGTTTGTATTTTTTTTGTGAGGCAAAGCTCGTAATCCCGGATGTTTGCCCGTGTCATCTCCCGGTATTGCACTACTCCCTCAACGCAAGCATAGCATAATTGCGCATACATACATACATACATACATGCACATGCATGGGCGCACACACACACACACCCGTTCACAAGCGAACCAAAGCACAATATGAGCAAGTTGTAGATTACAACGTTCAAACGGACCCATGCAGCGGGCCGGTTTTGAACGGTTCTTGCACTCGGATTCATGTGACCCGTCTACTGTACAGTAGGACACTTGCAGGACAAGTGCATGCACCACGTACTTATGGCCATGTTATGTACCATATTTTCCGGAGTATAGTGCGCACTTTAGATGTGGTATTTTAGGCCCTTAATCGCAGGTGTGCACTATGCTCCGAATATGAAATGCATGTACTTCAATGAAGATTGAAGTGCGCACCCCCAATGAAGATTGGGGGTGCGCGTTATACAAAGGTGCGCACTATACTCCAAAAATACGGTATCTTTTTCACATTTTATTTATTATTATTAAAAAGCATGTCCGCGTAGGTGGCGGGGTTGCCACTTTCGCTTATGCCATTCAGGATTGATGTCTAAAGAGTAATACGATACAATGAAATGACAGAAGTGACGTCAACAAAAGCCGTTAGCAACAATACCAATAGGACTACTGGAAAACTTCATCCAAAGTATACAATAAAATAGAATATGCATACAACATGTCTGGCGGAATCACGTGGATCACGAGAATCAGTCGATCCGCTGCCATTGTGCGTACTGCGTCAGCATCTAGCGGCTGGTGGAGGGTAAGTCCATGCCATAATGACAGTTCCGTTTGCAAGACCGTTACCAAAGTCGTCCGAGGTCGACCCCTGAAGCGTTCAGTGCCCTCGTCGTTGGCCAAGAGAAGATACATATCCACTGCCAATTGTGGAGGTGCAGTTGGGGCCAAACGAAAGATATGGCCAGCGAGATTGTAGCGCTGCCTTGTGATCATAACATATGTGCGAGTTGATAAGGGGTTTTCCTTCTATCGACTCAACCTTATCAACTGGCCAATCGACTTATTGACGCAGTCATTTCACCTCTAGTTCTGACTATGACAGACTGAGTGCAATCGCATGATATGACCTACTGGACTTGTTGTTTGATCTTTGTCCTCCGCTGTAGAATTTCCCTTTATTCGGTCTGTCAGCGCTTGCTGTCACCCAGCGCTGGGGAGGTTGGGGGGGGGGGGGAGGGGAGGGGAGGGCAAGCACCCCCTGGCAAACGCATACTTCATTCTCTACTTGACACATTGATTGTTCTCTCAAACTTAAAACTAGATGTAAACACAGGTGCCTTGTCAATTCAAATAATCCATCCGGAATAAATCGTCTGTCTGGAATTCCTGTTGCGGCCAATAACTACAGCACCGTTGGGCGCCGAAGAACTAGTGGGTCAGGGTTCTAGCCTAGCCCCCTCTCACTTTTAGCGAATACAGCAGTTTCGTTCTTATTTGATGGCACCGACTTACATGTACACATATGCAGAGTTATACGTCTGAGTGTACATTATAGTGTACATTACGGTTTCCGTTCTTATCTGCAAAACATACAGCCTAGACCTGTCTTAAAAAAAATGTGAAAATATAGCCTGGTCGTTCTTCGACGGTCCGTTCTTCGGCGCCCGACAGTCATGTAAAGCTTAATGTAGATCAACAGTACTAACTTGTACATTCTTCGATCCCTGGAATTGTCCTATTGGCTCTATACCCGAGTTGGCAGCATGAATATTTTCCCACCTCATTGATGCACCTTTTATAGTCACAGGGTGGTGAGGGCAGAAAACACTCATTGATGTCTGCGAAAAAATAATACACATGCATACACATACACATCAAGTCCTTCCAAGAAAAACTTTTTATCCGGCTCAACTTTGTTGAATTTCCCCTCGATCTCCCCAAAGGAAATAAGCATCAAAATCCCGCTAATTCCAACCCCACTACTTCCAATCCCAATACATGTACCTCCAGCCCCACTACTTCCAACCCACACCTCTTAACCCCACTAATCCTAACTCAACTACTCCCACAGATGCAGGTGTGCACTCCAAATGACACGATTCACATGTGCCAACAGAAATCCGAGTGCGACAGAAAAGAGGGTAAACACTTCGTGTATTCAATGAATGTAGGTAAGACAACATGATACATTGCCTAATCAATTACCGGCGCACTGCAGCTAGTCATTTTGGCAGTTAGGCGAGACCAAAATAAAATCGAGATTCCTGGGCAGGACCCATGTGAAATTGGTGCGGGCGGCTGAATTTGTTTATTATATATTTTCCCATGTATGTGCATTTTTTATTGACATCATGTACGCAGTTTACCGGTTCAATTTTTCTATATTTCAGCCAACGATGGCCTGATCTGTACATCAGGGAGTCGTACAAGCTCGGGTTTGTGTGACTCGACGCCACAGATCTACTCACACGATCAGTACTGCACATGTATGAACTGTTTAAAAAATGGCTCTGGCTCGATTTTGGTGCGGGAGGGCCCGGGAATCTCTATTTTTTTTGGTCTCGCCTTACTGTAAGACAAGTAATTGTTACGAGCAAGTAAATCTAAATCTTATCAGGTGCCATTTGTTCGTTATAATAAGTTCTGGCGGTGCTGTATTGCCAGATACAAAAAAATGTGCAGATATGCCTCAAGACCGCAAGATCGTCAATGAATCTTCTCGTTAACCTATGAATTCTGGGCAATCGTTAAATTTGCGACTCGTTATAATAACATATCTTACAGTAGTCATTTTGGGTGAATCCCTCGTTTCACGAGGAGACTGTCAAATTCAATAAAGAAAAGACGAAGTTGGACTGAAGACATGGCCAGGGCATGTGTGGAAAGAACGTACCTGTACAGGAAAATCCATCTCCAGTAAATCCAGGCTTGCAAACACATGGGACTGTTCCATTCTCAATTGTGCAGTGAGCATCAATGCTGCACGTGAAGTTCCGTTTGTCGCATTCATCAAACTCTGGAAAGAGATGAACACCAAGGCATGAACAGCAACAACACACTGTGAAGAGAGGGTGATAAGGAAAGATGATAAGGGAGAGAGAGAGAGGGATGGAGAGAAGATGATCAGAGAGAGAGAGAGAGAGAGGGATGGAGAGAAGATGATCAGAGAGAGAGAGAGAGCGATGGAGAGAAGATGATCAGAGAGAGAGAGAGAAAGAGAGAGAGAGAGAGAGAGAGAGAGAGAGAGAGAGAGAGAGAGAGAGAGAAAGAGAGAGAGAGAGAGAGAGAGAGAGAGAGAGAGAGAGAGAGAAGAGAGAGAGAGACAGAGACAGAGAGACAGAGAGACAGAGAGACAGAGAGACAGAGAGAGAGACAGAGAGAGACAGAGAGAGACACAGAGAGAGAGAGAGAGAGAGAGAGAGAGAGAGCGAGAGAGGGAGAGAGAGAGAGAGAGAGAGAGAGAGAGAGAGAGAGAGAGAGAGAGAGAGAGAGAGAGAGAGAGAGAGAGAGAGAGGAGAGAGAGAGAGAGAGAGAAAGAGAGAGTAAGTTACATTTATAAAGACAGGTAAGTCTAACAAATGAGGACTGAGACCTCTACAACAGGGTTTTTACGCCTGAAAGCAGGTGCATGATTAAACAAGCAGGTTGTCAGTCTAGATTTTATGCGCAGATGGAGAAAAAGCGCAGAATTTTTGTAATGAGATGAAAAGCAGAAATAATAAGAAATATTAAGAAAAGATGGAATGAAAGCCTGCTCACAACCCCGCCCAGCCTTGCGAACTGGGTATGGTGGATGAGAGAGAGATGAGAAAGAGACAGAGAGAGAGACAGATAGAGATAGAGAGAAAGAGAGAGAGAGAGAGAGAGAGAGAGAGAGAGAGAGAGAGAGAGAGAGAGAGAGAGAGAGAGAGAGAGAGAGAGAGAGAGAGAGAGAGAGAGAGAGAGAGAGATGGAGATATAGATAGAGTGAGAGACAGGTAGATAGATAGATAGATAGATAAATGGATAGATAGAGAGAGAGGAAGTGAGAAAGTGAGAGAGAAAGAGAGAAAGAGAGGTTGGGAGAGATAGATAGATAGAGAGAGAGCGGGAGAAAGAGAGCGCGCGAGAGCGAGAGATAGAGAGCGATATAGAGAGAGAGAGAGGGCGAAAGCGAGAGCAATAGAGAGCGAGAGCGAGATAGATAGAGAGATAGATAGAGAGAGAGAGAGACAGAGAGAGAGAGAGAGAGAGAGAGAGAGAGAGAGAGAGAGAGAGAGAGAGAGAGAGAGAGAGAGAGAGAGAGAGAGAGAGAGAGAGAGAGAGAGAGAGAGAGAGAGAGAGAGAGAGAGAGAGAGAGAGAGAGAGAGAGAGACAGACAGACAGACAGACAGACAGACAGACAGAAAGAGAGAGAGAGAGACAGATAGATAGATAGATAGAGAGAGAGAGAGAGAGAGAGAGAGAGAGAGAGAGAGAGAGAGAGAGAGAGAGAGAGAGAGAGACAGAGAGACAGAGAGATTGAGATATAGATAGAGTGAGAGACAGATAGATAGATAGATAGATGGATAGATAAATAGATAGATAGATAGAGAGGAGGTGAGAAAGTGAGAGAGAAAGAGAGAAAGAGAGATTGGGAGAGATAGATAGATAGAGAGAGAGAGCGAGAGAGAGAGAGCGCGCGAGAGCGAGAGATAGAGAGCGATATATGGAGAGAGAGAGCGAGAGCGAGAGCGAGAGAGAGAGAGAGCGAGAGAGAGATAGAAAGAGAGAGAGAGAGAGCGAGAGAGAGAGAGAGAGAGAGCGAGAGAGAGAGAGGGAGAGATGGAGATATAGATAGAGTGAGAGACAGGTAGATAGGTAGATAGATAGATAGATGGATAGATAAATGGATAGATAGATAGAGAGGAAGTGAGAAAGTGAGAGAGAAAAAGAGATTGGGAGAGATAGATAGATAGAGAGAGAGAGCGAGAGAGAGAGAGAGAGCGCGCGAGAGCAAGAGATAGAGAGAGATAAGTAGAGAGAGGGCGAAAGCGAGAGCGAGAGCGAGAGAGAGAGCGAGAGCGAGAGAGAGAGAAAGAGAGAAAGAGAGAGAGAGAGAAAGAGAGAGAAAGTGAGGGAGAGAGAAAAAGAGGGAGAGAGAGAGAGGGGGAGGGGGAGGGGAGGGGGAGGGAGAGGGAGGGAGGGAGGGAGTGAGAGAGGGAGAGAGGGAGAGGGAGAGAGGGAGAGAGGGAGAGAGGGAGAGAGGGAGAGAGGGAGAGAGGGAGAGAGGGAGAGAGGGAGAGAGGGAGAGAGGGAGAGAGGGAGAGAGGGAGAGAGGGAGAGAGGGAGAGAGGGAGAGAGGGAGAGAGGGAGAGAGGGAGAGAGGGAGAGAGGGCGAGAGGGCGAGAGGGAGAGATAGAGAGATAGGTAGATAGATAGGTAGACAGATAGGTAGATAGAAAGAGAGAGGGGGAGAGAGATAGATAGAAAGATGGATTCAGGGAACACGATAACGATCAGACATCGCACATTTTCCGACCATTTTGATTCGAATATGGCATTTTTTTGCTCGAACGGACAACCTGTCCGACCGAAATAATTCAGAAATAGCGTCGCTCTGAAAGAGAACGACTGAGGACAATGTTGCTCTGCCTGGAAAGTCTCACGAAGTCAGAGCAGCAACCTGTGACAAGTGGGTTTCACAGCATGGCAGGTAGCTGCCCACTTCAGAGAAGCTCCAGTTTGAGCCTAGCAAACAATCGAGGAATTTTGTCGCGCTTCCTGGAGAAACTAGGAAGTATTCTGTGAGACGCTTGTACGATCCGAAAAACTGGAAATGTCCCTCTTCCAGAGAAATGAGGCTTCAGAAATGTGCCACCTTGCAATATGCCTCTATGGAAAGGAACAGTCTTCTGGCAATCCCGACAACAAAATACGCTCCTGTCGCATAGGCGCTGTGCAAGATCGACGAAGAAACAGCAGCGAAAGTTTATCAAAATTCATCGGCACGTAGAATCTATGTGCTGTTCAAAGAGCACATCGTGTTTCCAAATATGGGAGCCTTCTGCCAACTTGAGTACTGACATGGTGTCCATCTTGGAGTTGGCAACAAGAACAGGCAAGCAGGTGCCCACTTTGTCTTTTGTCGACTGCATAAAAAGTATCTGTCGAAAAACAAGCTCGAATCCCGAAATCAGTGCAGAAACGCTGCCCACTCACAGTTGCCATGCTTGCTGCACAATGCACGAAGATTTGAATAATACTGTTACAGTCATGGGCCTTTGTTGAGATCTGTTAGATGATCGTACATGTACTTGATGTGACCGAGAACACAGCACCGCAATGTAGCATGCACGTGTGCATTTGCAGTGTTGTCGCGTATGAAAGTGGCGAAGACATAAGAGTACCAGACATGTACCACAAAATCTGTCAAATCATAGAGTCCGGCCGTGTCTGACCGTTTCCAGAAGTGGTAGTACATTGTTTCAGAACAATTTCGAAATCTTATCGTGGGATTAATTATTTGGCCCAGAATCCGCGAAAACCAGGCTTAGGGTGAAAATCATTTTTTTGAGAAAAATGATGTTTTGTAAAAAAGGTTGTGTCGCGTGGACGATCGAGTGCAGTGAAGTGGAACCAAAGAGAATCTTGCTGGTTTGAAGAAGTAGCAGTCATGGCAGGAAGGGTTTCAGCAGTCAGGGAAGTCAAAGGGCTTCCGGTAGAGTATTCCCTGCTACTCCTCTAGTCACAGTGAAGAGTTTTTGAGCTGATCGTACGGATTCCATCTCCTTCACTCAGGGACGGCGAAATTTCTGCGCTAGCTGCTGCTTGCGGAATATGGTGAAGAAATCGTCTCCAGTGAGAGACGTGATGGCGATAGCGAGGAGAACCTGGACGACATCGATCCAGCCAATCGAAGTACGGAGATACTAGCTGTTTCTGGGCCTCATGCAAAGGGAACACGCGCAGCGGAGCTCATACGTTTGCAGCAAGTTCACGAGGAAAATGGCTTGAAGCGCAGTGTGAAAACGGTTTTGAATTGAAGTCCTTGGCGATGAAGTGCTACTGAATGCCAGGCGAATGAGCGAGCAGATCGAAAGGCCCCCATTCGAGACTTTCCTCGCTGGACAGCTAGCTGCAAGGGATTGTACGGCGTGCTGATATTTCACTTGCTGGTCAGCGCCAAGCAGATACTGCAGCACGCCAGCACACTATGCGCTTACTATGAACAGTGGAACAGTTTGAAAGGCTGTGTTCTTGCTTGTTTGTGAACAGTTGTACTAGATTCACCCTTCAAAAGGTGCCATCTCAACTGGAGTCAGGTTTCCTTGTGGTGTGTAGCGCCAGAGCATGCCAGTACATGTATGCAGCCCCAGAATGTGTTGAGTGAGGAGCAAACAAAACTCATGCAGAACTGTGCATGGCCACTACAGCCTGAAGCACCAACGGGCCACAACAAGCCTGCCCACTCATGCCTACCTTGTCATGTCACCTAAACAAAAATCATCCATGTCTCTTCCTTCCGTCTGGTGGATCTCTCTTCATTTCTTTCCTGTGATAACAATTTTGTGTTTTTTTTTGGATTTTTTAACACAATACCCTGGTGTGTTTGAGATGCTTTTAATACCACTATGAGTCGACCCACACCTGTAATATTTTGTTTCCTGACCCCCATGCCCAGTAGAAGCTGAAAATGGGAAAAGTCATTTTATGAAATTTCACCCTAAGCCTGGTTTTCGCAGATTCTGGGCCATTTACCTCGACAGCCAGTGCCAACGCTCCTAAATCCCGCCGGGCATTGGCATAGGAAAGAACCAAGTGTGTTTACACATGTCGCGATACCAGTGCAAATAGCAGGCTTCAAGCTACATTCATTAACATCTGTTCAAATACAAATACAAAAAATGGATGCAACCTTGGATTTGTTACATTGACAACATTTCTTACATTGCTCAGCATATCTATAGTCCATTGTGCCCAGCCTATGTGATAAACTCCCTATTACCATCGCTTTGATTTCTCTTTATCCGATCCCCGTGCCTGTAATTCTTTTTCTCTTATTGGCCACAGGCCATCGTGGGAATAAAAGATTTCAAACCCTGGATTTTTAACATTAACCACATGCTTGAGGGTTACATGAAACTTGGCGTTGAAATACAGTCAACTTCGCGTATAACGACACTCGGCGAAGTGTCGTTATACCCGAAGTCCCATTATATGTAGTACAGTTGGATGGGACTTCGCTCTGGGCATGGAAATTCTGTCGTTATTCGCGAATTGTCGTTATATCCGCAGTCGTTATTAGCGAAGTTGACTGTAAGCCTACCTTGCTCCACAGTTCTGCAGTCTACCATCGGAGGAATCCTGATATTCGTAACGCCGAAGAAGCGACAGGAGGAACGCCAAAGAAGCCGCTGACAAATTGTGCGCTAGAGAACAAGTCACTTTACAAATCGACAACTTGCCCGTGTTGTAGCTTCTTCGCTCCGTTGTGTTCTTTTGGCGTGCTTGCATTCCATGGGACAAAATACCCAGAGTGGAATATTATGCTGGCTACTTGACTAGGCAAAGCGAAATGGTGCCAAGCGTTGCACGATCTCAGCTTGAATAGACTCGAGAAGAGGTGCTGTCATGAGCAGTAAAGTGCTGTAGGAGCGCCATTCCTGCCCCGGCAGCACACGAAAACGATTGAGTGATAATGAGATAATACGACAATGTCTACAACCTTGATGACCTAGGCAAAAAATGCATATCGATGTTATAATTTTTTCTCATTAGAATTTCTCATGTCAAAAAAAGCTCTGAGCGATCTGGCATGATTTTTGAAGTAGCAGATAATTTGAGTTAGACGCTCATAACGGCGGGTTTGGAGCGCCAAATTGCGCTGTGGCGCTAGTCATCTGGATCCACTGATGAGTTGCTGGCTATTGCTGTGTTCCTCTGGCCAGAAGCTTTTTGAGACCGCCACATTCAATATAGCATGTAGTTGGGAATCGAAGAGGAGCGGGTGAAAGCCAACCACGGCTGACGAACGTAAAGAAATACACAAGAGAGATTGGAGGCGGTGTCGTTTCACGCATTCCTACTATCATCAGGCAAACGTAAAGAAATATGAATCTCAGATGGAGAGTCAAGGTTTAATTTATACAAAAGAGAAAGACCGAGGAACTACAAGTTACGCTATACACACACACACACACACACACACACACACACACGTACAGTGCTGTTTTACTGAGGCGTTCGGTTTTTCATGATTCTTGTTCGCATAGCTTCCCCTTTTACTGATCTTCGCATCTCTTGAGCCACACAAGTTGTGTGGAATGTTGCTTTGCGTTCTGGAATCGTGGTCTGACCGTCTGTCCAATAGTCTTGCCAGTATCGTCATTGACATTCATGAACATCCGCCAACGTCCTTCACAGCTGAGACTTTCAGCTCGTGCTTATCTTGGTTGCGCTCACCTTCCCCTCCTGATGTTATTTTCTATAACTTAGAACCTCCCAAGTTGGAAGGCTGTTGGAGTGCACATCCAAGATGTGCTAGAGCTGTTAGCCAGTTAGTTGTTGAACGTCAGTACCGTCGGTCAGTGTCGTGCAATGTTATCGCATGAACTGATTGTTTAGTAACTGGTGGTGTTGGTGGACAGTATAGCGTATCTTGTAGTTCCTCGGTTTTTCTCTTTGTATAAATATGAATCGATAATATTTACCTTCACAGTCAATTCCATTACTGCGAAACCCTGATGGACATGTACACTGGTAAGACCGGATTGTGTTTACACACATTGCCATGCCAGTGCATTTATGAATGTTCAAGCTACATTCATCAATATCTGTTCAAATACAAATACAAAAATACAAGTTCAATCCTTGAATGTTCAACAGTTGAGGGTGTTGAAAAGGTTGGAAAGTCTGAAGAAGAACAGAACAATTGACGGTCACTAACATGAGTCGAACCGGAGACCTTCCAGCAATAGTGTACCCGTCATCCCAGTAGAGACCTTCCAGCAATAGTGTACCTGTCATCCCAGTAGAGACCTTTTCAACCTTACTACAGTCGGACCTCGCTTATCCGGTCCTCTTTTATCCAGATCCATCGGCATCCAGAAGAAAATCGCTTGGTTACTGATTTACAGTATATGCCATGCATGCATACAGTAAGTGTGTTCGATTATCCGGTTCCCTCGCCTATCCGGATATTTTTACGGACAACGGATGTGTGCGGTTATGCGAGGTCTGACTGTACTACCGTCAGACGTTGAGTAACACAATTCACAGATTTGGTATAGGAAACCGCGGCACAGCACTACTTCACAGTCACTGCACTTTCATTCTTACATCAAGAAAAACAAAACAAAAAAACAATGGATGCGTGCCGTTATCAAGAGTGTACTTATAAGCTCCCAAGAGTGTGCAATTCCTTATACAACGTGCCATGCACAATATGCATGTATGTTGTCTCACAACTGTTTTAATTATGTGTACAGAAATCCATCATTGCAGTTGCATGATCCTTCTATGATGTCAGTTTAACGAGAGGGACAAACAAACCAACTGTTCGAACTTCAGCCATGCTTCTCAACTTTTTAACCATTGCTTAACGTCTTGTGATTACTAGTACCCATCAAGTTTGAACGGCCAATTTGTCAAAATCTGACGTACGGTTTATACTTCTAAGGCCTAAACAAAAAATAGGCTTGTTTCCGGTCGGCAACCCCTCAAAAAGGAGACTCGGTCGGCCGGAATGAAACTTTTTTTGGATACTTTTTTTTTGGTTCCTCAATCATTGTGGTATTGATGGACAAGAGCACCTACACATGTACATTGTATATATATCATGGCAAGGATCAATGTCAAAGTTGACTGACTCACTGTTCTTGTACAGCATGGGGTGTATTCCTGTTTTCGTACATTCTGAGAAATCAAGCAAACAGTTCGAGTCCTTCCAGCTCTGTTATTCTAGCTCGTATCGACCCCGGAGGTTTTCGAGCCGACAGCTGAGAATTTCTGCTACCTTGTAGGTGTTTCGATTGTGGCATTCGGTTGAGATTTGACTGAGTTATGACTCGTTGAGTGCACTTGCACACATGGCATTGCCACCGTTTGTATACATTTGGGACCAAAAAAAAGTTTCAGAATTTGGGAAAAAGTGGCCCGGTCGGGCGACCGGAAACAAGGTCATTATTTGTTTATATCTAAATGTAAAAAAATACGACCTTTGAGCGCAAAAAGCGAGGTGCGGCTGTCACCCCGGAAAATATCTCTGAAAACTATGTTAATGGCGGGTTGCAGTGGCTGGTGAGTTAATACATGGAATGGAAGTACCCCTCGGCAATGCTGTATGGAAGTGCATAAAAGTTAGTTGCTTGCTAGTGTCGGTGAAAGTAACTGCCAAAATGGTGGTCCAGTGATCCCCGTACCTCCACCCTTTCACTTTTGTTTTTACAGAATGCACAACAAGCTGGGCTGAACTACACATGATCAAAGTACGACATTATTGATCGATACATGTATCAAACACTTACCAGAGCAAGTAGGCCAGTGGCCTTGAGCGTCGCAGTACTGGATTGTAGGTACACCCGGCTTCAAGGCCAATCCTGGAAGGCAGGTCAAATTCTTCAAAACATTGGTTATGTCAGTGACGGTGCCCAAAAACTGATTGCTATTCGGGCATGCTTGTACTGAAGGAGAAGAAACAAAGAGAGCATTCAACGATGTATGAAGGCAGCAAAGGGAGCCAATGAGCGACCTGTGACTCTGGACTGTTTGCGGCACCGGCTTGTTGCCTAGATCACACAGCGGATTACTAGTGCACCAAAAGTAATTGAAAAACAATTGTGACGATGAACTGGGGATAGAATAGTAGTACTTGGTCCGCCCAGTTACAATTCGCGCTTATCTTCACACTTGTCCCAGGAAGGAAATACGAATAAGCCATGACCACAAAGCACTATATACATGATTATTTACATGTCAGAAAGCACCCCAGTCGAAAATTCAAGCAAGTTACACATCCTCCTCGCCATTATCGTCGCTGGTGGAAGAGCTCAAAACGTTCGATCCGGACAGCTGCTGCATGTTTCACAGCTTGTTCCACTTCTCCTCGTCTTGAATCACGTTCAAAGGCGGTGCGTGCCTGTCACCTTGTCGATCAGAAGCTGAGTGAGACTGCTCGCATGTTGGCTGTAAGTGTTATCCCCGTTCGTCGCAATAATGCGACTTTGTTTGAGACAAAAAGGCAACGCCATAGTCAGTGTTCTTTTTTCAAATCGCCTCTTGCGCTTGTCGTACTTGCTGATCAGCATCCACGCGAGCCGCTGGTGCTTGTGCATGCAGCGCAGTGATAGCTTCCGCTTGATGTAGCACCTCAGGTCCTGTGCGTACTGAACCTACGTGACTAAGTCTTAACGTCGTGCACCAGGCTTTTCGGCTAGTTTCCTGAAAGTCCTTTGCACTAGTGTTCCCTCAGGACTTGCTGTTTTCTTTGATTAGCTCCTTTGCTCTGTCCTCTGTGAGCTTCCGGTTTGGAGGTTATCTTTTCCTTCCTTTCCCTTTATCATGTATAAAAATTGCTGTTGCCATTCATATTTTTTACCTGCAAAATTTGAGCGAAATCTGAAAGATCGACTGGCACAAATGTTTTCACTTTTCACTGTCTTCAAGTCCAAGAAGACCAAACAAACTTAACATCAATTATCATGGTGTGCGTTTTTCTTCTCTCTTTTCCAACAAAGCTGCGATGCTATGGAATTGCCTACCGCCTTCTCTTACCTCTATAACCAGCCTCCTCGAATTCAAGCATTGTCTCTATCAGCATTTTCGCCGATATATTCAATACACTGACGGTATCCCAACTCCTTAATAACCAGATTTTGTATGCCTCGATCTATTTCCTTAGCCTATCCTCGATTAACTGCTCCCTCTACATAAAGGTGTCATTTCATTCTTCTTGCTGGAGATCCCCTCGACAGGCCCAAAGCCTTTGGAAAATCCTTAAATATTATGAAATACAAAAGACACAAAAATACAAATGTTCTGGTTTTCTCAGACGTACTCTCTTAATTGTATAGGTAGACTCCCTCTAATTCGAACCTCAAATTGCCAGGCCCTGAATTCGAATTATCCGGAACTTCTAATTATCCAAATGCAGTCCCATGTACTGATATGTATGTCAAAATGCTCGAAATTGCGTGCTGATTATTTTGCAAATTTTATTTGCATCAACGAAACATAGGTGGTCATGAACAACGAGGTCAGTTCATTTCACCAAAACACTGGATCAACACGAAGTCATTGGATATTATTTTCATCTTCTACGAAGTTATGTGGAGCAGTTTTCAATCACTGCAGTTGTCCTGAAATTATTTCAACGCAAAAGAACAGCGCTGCCTTCTCTGCGTCATGAAAGCCCGTCGGAGAGCAGCACGTCGATCTGAAGAATGGAAGTAGAGCGTAGGCATAGGTAATTTTTACGACTTCCAGTTGTTGTTCAGTCCCAAACTTCTTTGCGCATGAGCTGGCGCGGCATGATAAGCCATTTAGATCCGCGAAGGGAGCCAACCAGCTCGAAGAAGTCGTCTTCAATCAAATCTTTGCACTTTGCCTTGCACAGGCTTGGATCAATTTTCGAGAGAAGGTGGGTTTCTTCAACACTATTGTTGATCCTGGAGTGGACCAGGGATCAATTTTTTAGTTACTCTTGGCTAGAGAAGGAGAAAAATGAAATTCGAATTACGCTCGAAGGACATAGTCACTGTACTGTAAACTGCTCTTCTGTATGAAGGCAGAGTTCGAATTATCCAGCGGGCGCACTTTTCGGACTTCGAATTATACATTCGAATTTGACTTGAAGTGACTTGCAGAAGATCGGTACGACGAAAATGTTCGAATTACAAGGAATGTTTGAATTATACCGTATTCGAATTAGAGGGAGTCTACCTGTATTGTTTCCATTCTGGCAGTGCTGAAGGAGTTTGGGTTTGGAGTTCTTTTCTCTTCCTTTCTTTCCACTTTTACATAAACATAGCTGTTACTATTCACATTTTTATCCTTCCGTGTTGCTGTTCAACTTTTGTTCAAATTTTGATTTGTTTGCTCTCCTTGCTTTCCTTGCATTCAGATCAGAGCTTTGTGTGTCCAATCAAACATCTTTTATTAAGTAGTAGTTGTAGAAATAGTAGTTTTTGTTGACTTTTCGCTGTGGCTTTGTAATATTTGAATTTGTTTCTCTCGTTATGGTTTCTGGCTGCCATTGTGTCGGTGGGAGGTTTGTTGGAGTTTTACTTGGATCCTTTTAAAATTTTGTACAATTGCACGACCTTATTGAGCCTATGCTAGGGATTGAGTTCATTTTTGCCTCCTGGGACCTGGGTGCAATGCTTGAGTTCTCTTGGTCAGGTTTCCTTTCTTCTTGGGTGCAATGCTTGAGTTCTCTTGGTCAGGTTTCCTTTCTTCTTGGGTGCAATGCTTGAGTTCTCTTGGTCAGGTTTCCTTTCTTCTTCCTTTCTCCAGCATCATGTTTTCGGCGTCCTTTTCTTTCTTTGCATCATCATTTTGTGTGCTCTGTCAGCGCTTACTGTCACCCAACGCTGGGGCAAGCACCCCTGGCAAATACATACTTTACTCTCTACTCGACACATTGATTGTTCTCTCAAACTTAAAACTAGATGTAAACACAGGTGCCTTCGGTGTCAATTCAAATAATCCATCCGGAATAACTCGTCTGTCTGGAATTCCTGTTGCGGCCAATAACTAAAGCTGCATGAAGATCCACATTACTAACCTATACATTCTTCAATCCCGGCACTGTTCAGCATTGTCCTATTGGCGATATACCCAAGTTGGCAGCATGTATAGTTTCCAATCTCATTAATGCACCTTTTAGGTTCACAGGGCGGTGAAGGCAGAAGACACTCGTTGATCTCTGCGAAAATATGATATACATGCATACACGTGCCCACAGGGAGGTACACACCCACATACACACACACACACACACACACACACACACACACACACACACACACACACACACACACACACACACACACATACACACACACACACACACACATGCACACACACACACACACACACACACACACACACACACACACACACACACACACACATACACACACACACACACACAAACACACAAAAACACACACATACACACATACACACACACACATACGCGCGCGCATGCAACCACACACACCATAATATCTTTTAAGTCCTTTCAAGAAACTCTTTTATCCGGCTCACCTTTTGGAGAAATGTCCCTGAATTTCCCCAATGAATACTCCTAGTGAAATAAGCACCAACACCCCACTACTCCCAGTCTCACTATTCCCCATTCTTCTACTCCACACCCCGCTACTTCCAACCCCACAACTTCCAACCCCACAACTCCCAACCCCACTACTCCCAACCCCACCAATCCCCACTCCTCTATTCCCAACCCCAACCTCACCACACCAATCCCAACCCCACCAATCCCCACTCCTCTATTCCCAACCCCAACATCACCATTCCCAACCACACCAATCCCAACCCCACCAATCCCCACTCCTCTATTCCCAACCCCAACCTCACCATTCCCAACCACACCAATCCCAACCCCACCAATCCCCACTCCTCTATTTTTCACAACTCTTAGCCCTGCCCCATGTTATAGTTAGACATTTCAATAATTCTTGAGCATGCTTCAAATATTTCTGATACTAGTAGTACTATTTTACACAAACTCCTGACAACTCCGGGTCTAGGTCACTCCGAGACACCTTTCTTGCCAGGGCTGATAATACTTCATGTTTACTCACATTACTTATCTTCCTACTGCAAGCGAATGCTGTTGAAAGTCTTCGCTCGTACTTTATTTGCATGTTGCTCGCATGCACCCTTTCTCAAACTGAGTTCTGGTTACATCACTAGAATAAATGCGTGCTCGCTGGTCTAAAACTGAACGCCACACTTTAGTGTACATCTAGCATGCGCTATGTTGTTGTTGTTGTTGTTGACTTTTATTTTACTTCACCAATTGCACAGGCATGATTGCCTTCTTACCGGCCTATAGGTCCGGTTCTCACAGAAAGATGAAGAAAATTATATGAGGAAATGTATAGAGATAAAGACATGCAAGCGGTATGATTATTATTATAGAAATGTTTGTTATGACATTGTGTGTATGCTGACACTCAATTTGTGTGAACTTTTTATAATGTGATAACAAATAAAATGTAGTGGAAGCATTTCATGAGAATATATGTGTGAACATTGGCAGACTTTGTTGGATGGGGACACTTTTTAGCAGTCCAGGGAACATGAAGTACGGCGAGGGGTGTTGGACTGTTGGCATAGAGTTTACAAGTTAAGTACGTCAATATCAGATAGGGCTCTCTTGAATTGATCGGCAGCAGTTATCGATCTTACATCAGCCGAGAGGGCGTTCCATGCAATACTGCCGTGAAACATCATACTCGAGCGACCAGCAGGCCCGCGAAGGAAAGGGACTTGGAGCAAGTTGGAAACTTGGCCCCTAGTGATGCGCTGATCGTTTAGGACGGTGTTTGGAGCAGTCGTTGTAAAGAGTTGCTGTAGGAGTGGGCTACAGTATCCATTGATACAGCGGTGTACAAAGATTAGAACTTTCTGAGTGTATGTGTGTGCCAGGCTGACTATACTAAGAAGTGCCAGAAGCGGTGCGGTGGGGGTGAGAAAGCGCTGTTGCAAGGTTGCACGAATGCCGGCTTTGAAACTCTTCTCCAGACGTCCAAGCAACTGGGCAGAAAGCCCAGGAACAAAGCTATTCGAACCATAGCATAGCTGAGAGAGGACCATGCTGAGGAACCAAGTGCGTCTGGCGCGCAAACTGAGTCCTTGGCCATGCCTCCAGAGCTGGCCAATGGTCCTAGCAGTCTTGCGGCTCAGGTGTGCAATGTGGGGCTTCCAGGACAGCTCCTCATCGAGTATTACCCCGAGATACTTAGCCGAAGGTGTGATAGCTATGCGCTAACTCTGCATCCTGCTGCAGCTTGGAGCGCATATAACCTCAGCTTGCTTTCATTGTAGGATTGCCTCAACACTGCACGGAACAAAAAGCTATGACTGGACTTCATTGACAAGTGTACATCGGTGTAAAAAATGGCATGTACTTGTCATGTGCTAGTACCTGTATAATTATGTTTTTTTTCGTATGCTATTCTTTCTGATGCAATCTATTTCATGGTGAAACAGTTGACAGATGCGTGGAACCCATTATTCGGGAGACATGCGACCTGTATTATTATTATTATTAAGCTTCCGTGGAGATAAAAATGTAATCAACGCAATAAATAGAGTAAGCTGCGCACTCAGTACAAACACCATAAGCAAAACTTGTTTTCATGTAAATAAAGAAGCTTGTTCTTAAACGTTTTCGTCGCCATCTCATCAGAGGATTACTGGCAAATCAACAAAAGCTCTTAACTCAATATATATATACGCACAATGCAAGTAATAATTTAGACCCTAACTACCGCGATAAAATGAGAGCTGAAAGAAACATTACACCATTCAACGATATCAGGTGACACCAGATGCGATAAATTCACCACTAGAAAGTTACCATGCAACCACAAACGCCGTCGTTGGTGGCGGTGGTGGAGGAGAATGGGCGTGGTGGCTCATCGGGTCGGCTTGTGTCGCCGCCTTTGCTCCGGCCGTCGGTGGTTCCCTCGTCGGTGCCCCCGGCGGCTTTGGCTGAGGCGGTGCCGCTTGCGGTCCCGGTCCCACTGCCTCCTCCTGATCCTCCGCCATCGGTTCTTGCGGCGGTGGAGCTTGCCAGTGGCAGACCGCGAGCAACACTGACAGCTGCATTAACACTACAAATGCCGACTCAAAAAGACCCACCTTGCATATCAGTAAATCCCACACCAACACCAACAACGCAATCTACAGCAACCATAATTAATCCACCATCCAAGCCCATAATTGAAAGACCAAGACGATCAACAGCCAACTACAACAGAAGCTACGCACTCAGCGGACGAGGGCGAAAGGAGGGACGTGATAGCAGGGGGACGGCCGAGTTGAGTTCAATGGACCCGGTCAGGCGGGATGGACGAGACAGAGAGAGTACAGAGGAAGCGGAGGATGGAACGGACGGCGGAGGGAGCAGTGGGTCGGAGAGCAGTGATGGGAGTGATGGTGAGAGTGCCGGTGAGAGTGTTAGTGTTGTACGTAGGTTTCGTGGTAGCAAGTCTTCAGTGTACAATCATCTGCTGGCTAGTCCTGATTGTTGCGGTGCGTATTCCGACTCTTCGTTCACTGTATTGTGCCGTGGTCGTCATGGTTATGGACTACAGTTAAAAGTGTTGGAAGCTATCTATCAGCGTATGTACAAGCCTAATTTGTGTGTACAGAAAGATAGTATAATTGGGTTGAAATTGTTCAAGTAACGTGTCGTGTTTAGTGCGGCCAAGCTTGGCCGTTAATGTTCTAGGTGTAATGTACTGCTGTTATGTGTTATCACGTTGTCTTTCCTTCCTTTCTCCTTTGTTCATTTCTCGCTTTGATTGTTAAAATTCACACTTGTAAATTTCACTGTTGTTGCTCTTAGTGTTATTTCTCTAACTTAGATTTTCTATAATAGTTCAATTTTTGTTTCAGTGTCCTTTAGTACAACGACGATTCCTGATGAGTGTTGTACGAAAACTTGTTTGAATCCCTTTCTTTCTCTACACAATTTCTTCACATTTTTCATCGTTTTATTGCACATTGTCTCCACAGTTTTACAATACATGAATACAGTGTACATAAATGTCGATCCAGCTTGTATTACTGATTGCGGTTATCAAATTATTATTATTATTATTTTAACTGGTTTTGAGGGAAAGAGACAAACGGGAAAAGTCTGAAGAAAAAATTGATTGTCACCACCAGGACTCGAACCAGGGACCCTCGCTTGTAGCCAGCGATGCTCTAACCACTGAGCTATGGTGTAGTCGTCATCGAAGCAGAGACCGTTCAATGTTTTCCTCAGACTTCGTAACTCACACTTCCTGTGAATCCACACAGGCGGGTGGGACGCAGCCCTCACTGTACCCACACACTTCACGTACAAACTAGCACGCGGGGAGCCCCAAGTCATAAAATATTAACTGGTTTTGAGGGAAAGAGACAAACGGGAAAAAATTATTATTATTATTATTTGTAAGAAAGGTTTGCTCCCCACACCGGAGCTCGCGCTATTCCGCCGACTTTACTTGACACTTGACTGACTCACGACTGCCATCCAGAGCACACGAGAAGTCCATCGAACCTTGGACTCGGCAAACCTGCAAGAAAGCACCACTCCCGGCTCAATACACAGTGTTTCGGGGAATTCACCCCTCATCAGTTGAGCTTGAGTAGGCTGAGGAAGATTGTGCCTGAAGAGCACCACTTATATAGTGCTCTCCAGGCACAAACATCACCAGGGATACAAACTTACAGAGACGCTCCGCTTCCAGCGCGATAAACACCTCGTGAACACCAGATAGCAGCGTGATAGCAGCGTGATAGCAGTGTGAGGAAAGTCGGCGGAATAGCGGAATAGCGCGAGCTCCGGTGTGGGGAGCAAACCTTTCTTACAAATCATCGCCGAAGTCGCAACCACTACTTCGTATTATTATTATTATTATTATTATTATTATTATTATTATTATGAAGTTAGACTTCTAAGTTCGTATTATTATTATTATTATTATTATTATTATTATTATTATTATTATTATTATTATTATTATTATTATTATTATTATTATTATTATTATTATTATTTGAAGAAATGGTGTAGGGAAAAAATATATGGATTCAAACAAGTTTTCGTACAACACTCATCAGGAATCGTCGTTGTACTAAAGGACACTGAAACAAAAATTGAACTATTATAGAAAATCT